AACACCAAGCCATCTTGCAAGTGAAACCGAAAATTGTTCCCCATTGGTCACCAAGCAGTCTAGGTTTTGTCAGACTTAAATTTCGAAATAGCTAGACATGCAGCTCCAACTCGAAGAAGGTTGCTCTCAGGTTATTTGCAATTAACTAACAATAGAGATGTTTAATAATAGGATAATATCTCAACATATGTAAAGTAGTTTCCTTACCTAGATTGCAAACTAGGCATGTTGGCTTACCCATAAGGAATATATTCATTCTAGCTTTAGTTGATATCCTATCATGTCCCACTTTCAAAAGGAAAATTCTTACCCTTTGAGGCCTATTTCACCTTCAAATGCCTTCCATAATTCAAGTGTTGTACTTTGCTCATTATAAGAATCAAAGAATGCCTCATACATCACCTTTATTGATAATACTGGGTGTTCAGGTATGTATCAAAACAATCTGGCGTCACCCTCATTTTGAGCAGGTGCCATAATACTCCTTATGCAGTTATTGACATTAGACGATATCCATCTTGCAAGCTCCTCGATCCTCCAATTGCCAGATTCATCCACATATTGATTAATTGTCTTATTAACCTCCTCCAAAGAGACAGGTTAAACAACCTGATCTAATAATTTACCTAAATTATTGATCCACTATCTTTCCAGAAGAGGGTTAAGGAACTATTACCAATTTCCCACATTAGCAGCTCTTCGAGTTTTTTTCATGCCATAGAGATATAGGTTCAGACCCGAGAATAACCTAATGTAGGTCTAAAAATGTCAACTCCATCTATACTAGCAGCATACTTAACCCGGAGGGCTTGAACCCAAAGGGCTTGAGGTTAAGCATAGATAACCCAGGCCAGTTTGGCGATGAAAGCATCGCTCATAGAGCTAATAATACTCAACCAAAGATTTCCTTTCCACTTTGGCATTGTGATTGTATCCCATCCTATTAAGTGCATATGTTATCCGTCATCAGCGTCACCCCAAATAATTTTCCTCTGGATTTTCTCAATCTCCAAGAAAGCATTGTTGGGTAGCCTACCAGACTGCATTTGAAAATAAAGGATGGTAGCCAGCACTGATTGTGAAAGGATAATTCTACCCGCTTGTGAAAGTCACTTTGATTGCCAACTATTCAGCTTACCTCTCACTTTGTCAACTGTTGCCATATAGAAATTCTTTGTAACACAGCCATGATGCATCCAAGCTCCAAGATAATGGCCAACATTCCTCACCCTGTTAAACCCACAAATATCTGTAATATTCACAGCAACCTCATTTGGAATGTTCTTAGAAAATAAAATACTCATGTTTTGGGCACTAACCTTTTGACCAGAGATTTCCCCGAAAAGGTTCAGGCATTTTAGAATAATTTAAATCTGATCTACGCTAGCCTCGGTAAAGAGCATAAGATCATTCACAAACATTAAAAGTGAAATTCTTGGTCCCTCCCTGACTACCCGAATAGGTTTCCATAAATCACCTTCGATTGTCATGTCTATAATGTGAGAAAGTTTTTCCATTGCTATCACGAATACGTACGGGGATAAAGGATCACCGTAACGGATACCTCAGGACGGCTGAAATTCCTCAATAACACTCCCATTCCGTAATATATTTATCCTGGTGGAGAAGATTGCCTGTATAACAATACCAACCAAATTAAGAGGAAGCTTCATTTCCTGCATAGTGTTTTTCATGAAGTTCCAATTTAACCTATCATACGCCTTCTCAAGATCCTCCTTAACAGCCATGAATGCCTTATTTCCTCTCATGCGGTGCATAGTATGAATGAGTTCCTACACCACTATAATGTTGTCTTGGATATGCCTTTGTGGGACAAAGCTATCCTGCAAAGGAGATATTAACTTCATCATGATAGGTTTCAGCCTCATGACGATAATTTTACTGATCAGTTTATAAATTATCGGGCATAAGGAGATAGTCTAAACTAAGTTATGAGTGACAGTGTTTGACTCTTCGGGATAAGGACCAACAACATTGAATTTAAGGTTGAAATAAGCACAAGATAACTCTAAACAACATCTACAAGCTTGAAAATATGATATTTGACAGTGCTCCAAATTCTTTGGAAAAATATCGCGAGGAAACCATCAATACTCGGAGCTTTTAATTCGCTTATTTCAAAAATAACTTGGCGAATCTCCTATGGTGATGGAGCTCTATTTAGCAATAACCTATCCTCTTGAGACAATTGAGCCCACGAATTCTCCGAATTTAGCCACCTCCAAATAGTAACCTCATCCTTGAAAAGATTTTGGTAGAATTTGTAAGCTTTATTTTTCAGCTCCTCTGGGTTAGTGATTCACCTATTGGTATCGTCTCTCAATCTCAAAATTTTATTGCTATCCCTCCTGATTAGGGGTGTTAACGGGCCGAGCCGAGCCGAGCTTTGGTCTTAAAAGGCTAAGCCTGTGTTTAAATGTGTCGGCCTTACCAAGCCTGTTACATGTTACGAATATAATTATCGGCATGTGCCTGTCTTATTTACAAAAAATAAAAGCCTGATTTAGCCTGTTAGAAAAAAATAAGACAACAAAAATTTATTCAAACAGAATACACAATCAACAACACTAGTAATTTCATAAATTCAATGTATATCCAAACAGCATAATATAGAACAAAATCATTCAAAAAGTCTGTTTAACTAATAAAATAGGAGTGAAATGGATTGAGAGGAGAGAGAGGGCTATTATAAATAGTATAAAAAATATAAATAAAAAAAATTAATATACTAGACTAGCCTGAGAGGCTCCAAGGCCGAGCTTTTGAATTGGAGCATGAGGCCTTTTTACTAAACAAGCTTTTATATAAGTCCAAGCCTGGTTCCAACAACCAATATTAGGCATGTAAGCTCAGGCCTTCACGAGCCGAGCCAAAAGCCCCTGGCTTGTTTATCACCCCTACTCCTGATGATTGAGTAAAGTGATAAAACTTTGTGTTACGGTCCAATCCATTGATGTCTAGACTTCTGAAACCAAAGTCGTTTCTCCTTATCTAAGATTTTTGCAATCTCTTTTTTGACAATTTTCCTTCATCCTTTTCCCCTCCTCTATCTCATAGTGCATTCTTTGGTTTTGAATATGCTCTAGCTTATTTCTCTGTTGGATGTTTCCAAAAACTTTTATGTTCCAATCTTTTACTGCTGAAATAAATTGTTGCAACATATATGGTACATCAAATGTGTTGTTCCACACGAAATTTTAGACCTGATAAAAAGAACAACATTTTAAGTTCAAATTTATTTTTTGTTTAATAAATTAAAACAAAAATTCAAATTGACTCATTTAAATAAGTGAATCAATTTTAAGTATGGTAAAAAAAATATTTAAGGAATAAATTTAATAAAAAATAATTAATTATAAATGAGCGAAATAAATTGTTTTAATTTATTAAAATTAAAACAAAAATTCAAATTGACTCATTTAAATAAGTGAATCAATTTTAAGTATAGTAAGTAAAAAATTTTAGAACAATATAAAACATAGCGTGAATTAACCTGATAAAAAGAAGTATAGTAAGTAAAAAATTTTAGAGCTGAAACACGTTAAGATTAGCTCTGAGTCTGACTCTGAGGAATGACAAGCAGTAATTCACACGTGTAAGATTTTGAATACCCCTAAATCCGTAATAGAGGAAGAAAATAGAGAGTGCAAAAAAGAAATAGAAGAAAAAACAGCAGGTTCGGATCAGTATAAAATTTTACCTCCTTGTAATGTTACTCTCTAATCAAATGGAGGATGAACAGAAAAAAGAAACATATAGAGCAAAGTTATCTTTTTCCTTATTTAGATGATTAATAATGGAATAGAGTGAAGCTCTATTATCTTGTTTGACATTAAATCATAAAGGAATTAAATGAAATATTAAATACTTACTTTTATAAAAGTTTGCTTTTCTTCATGTCATCCAAATTTTAGAAGGGAAAAAAATAACTTGGGAAATAAAAGAAAAATAGTTTCCATTGATTTTTCTTTTTATTTCTTATTTCCTTTACCTGTTCTTTATGTTTCCCTCGAACTCAAATTATTATAGAAAAAAATTCAAATTGGTATAAAATGATTATATTTGATGTGGCCAGCAAGAGAAGAAAAAAAATAATAACCAGAGCTAAAAACAAACATAATATATACGTGTGGGTTTAATTTATCACTTTGAATGAGTTAGATCACGAAACTTAATCTACCAACTCAAATAACTGGTATATTGATCAAAATAATATAGTTTGAAATCATTTATTAAAGAGATATAGTTTGATCAAATTTTTGTCATGCGGGCTCACACACATGTCATGGTAAAGACACGTTTCATCACCATCTGATTGACTCGTGTCATATTTGTGGGCTTATGTAAGTCAAAACTAACTTAATTATATTATTTTGATAAATAATTTTTAAATTTTGCTATTTTAATTTATTAACTTGGTCAATAAACCCTCATGAATAAAATATAGGTTCACTACAAAAATTCAAGCATTTTGTGGGGGTCATATTTTCATATTGTGGGGGTCTTTGACCACCACAAAGTACATTTGTGGCATTCTCAATGACCCCCAGTTTTGCCTACGCCACAACATATTTTGTGGGGTCTTTATGTGCAACGCCACAATTTGTTGAAATATTTTCTGGAGGCTCTAGACCCCACAAATGTTTCAGTTTCTGGAGGTTTAAGACCCCCACAAATTTGTTGGAAATTTAAAAAAAAAATCATTTAAAATTTTACGTTTCTTTTAAAAAACCAGGTAGATTCAAAAGGATAAAAAGAATTCATTCCAGATATTTGAATACATATCTAAATAGAACTTGGTTTTCAAAGATAAAAAAATCAAAGAGATGTATAATGAAATTAAAAACTAAAAGCTATTAAAAATTGATAACTACTCATTTATGCCAAAATTTGGAAGTTCTACAAGACAAATTCACATTTAGATAAAATTACGTTACAAAATTATGTGAGAAATAAATCTCACTTAAAATGTAACCCAACAGAAATGGCCTAGGTATACAAACATAGAGCATCTTATGACATTAACCAAAATAATTTTTACAACAAAAAAATTGATAGCCATGACAATTAACTGTTTGAATTAATTTATTTTAGCTTTTTTTGGGCCTTAAACTAAAAGTCCTAGGAACTTATTGAATTAATTACAAGAAGCATGCACTTTTATCTCACATTACGGAAAAGCATAAACTGTTTTTGGAACTACATGTTACTAGATTTCAGAATATTTCAGGAGGAAAATCCATAACACCTCTGAAGCAAATTAACTGCATTGAATCTACATATTAAAACTCTGCCTGTACATAATCTTGTAAATTCGTAAGACTGATTAAAGTAATTGAGGTAAATAATAATGATGATAACAATCTTACCACGCTTCGGAGCTTCATACAATGGCATAATTTCGATGAAATAAGTGTCTCTGAATGATGTCAAAAGGCATATCTTTGCTGCAAACTACATTAAAAACAAGAAACATCATACATCATGTTGACAATCATACACAACAAGTGAAATCATATCTTACTAATTTAGCAAAAATAAGAAGCACAATTTTCAACTTAATCAATAACAATCCAAGAAACTAGTTACTAAAAAGCTACTAAAATCCCTCTTCCCAGCCTCCTTTTGAGAATGTCCTCATTAATTCATCTACACATCAGCAAATTTAATTTTTCTAACCTAGTTAATCAATCACAATCCAAGAAACCAGATGTCCTCATAGCTAGACATTTTTCAGAGGCATTGTTCTTTCCACATGACCAACAAAACCCGATGTCCTCACAGCATACATACCTGTTTTACAATCTCTTTTCGAACATGCTTGTAGTGTTCAGGTGACCTAAAAAGCTGATCCGAAAGTGCACGGAACTGCAATGTGTGGAGAATCATCAATAAAATCTCAAAAGCATTTTGCAGTTATTTACTTCATTTTACCAATCCAAACTTCAAAGCATAAAAGGCATGGTCTAGCAAATTATATAGTTAACTATAATAAATGCTTCATGTATTTCTAAAAATTTGGAGGTTAAAAAAAAGTTTGAAAAAGAAAAGGACACACTCCATATAGTACATGCCTGTTCAATAATTGGCAGCACATGATGGGTTTGAAAGACACCTAGCCAGTTCTATCCTGCATAGATAAAAAAATTAAGAAATTGGAGGCCTATTGAATTACTTTTTATTATGGCAGAAAAATGAAAAGAGAGAAAGATGGTATACCTGTATTCCTTAAGCAAGCAAGCACAAGTTTTGACAGCGTCAACAGCATTAGCTGATGGAATGATCATTAAAATGCATACCAAAATACTAGCTATTTTCATGATGCGTAAATAACTCCAATAATTATGTATATTATGATATTTTTAGAAAACGCCACATTCTATTGCTTCAATCACACTCCTAGTCTCTGCCTATGGCCCACCTCTCCCACTCTCTGACGAAATCTAAACACACAGCTGAACTAAGTTGAATGATTCAATCCAATGCTATAGAGTTTGACAGAGAGATGAGTAAAATAACAAACCCAGCTAACTTGAATAAAAAGTGCAAAATAGCTTAATAATTAAATTGAACTTCCTTCCTCCAATTAACTTAAAAACTGTATCAGATTCAACACTAAGGAAAACGGGATAGAAACAATCAATGCCTTCCTAATAAGAATATCCATTACCTGCCTAATTAAATAAATCTACATTTTACATGTTTTGTTTCAGAAGATTACCTTGACCATTTTTTGTTTCATAATGGTAAATCAAGTGAAATTACCAGTTCTATATCAATTGTTGATTCAATCTCATACATCATCCGAGATTCAACACCCCCTCGTAGCCTTCCACAAATTATTCCAGATAATGAAGAAGAAAAAATTCTAAAAGAGAATCGATGAGAAGATATATAAAAGGAACCTTGAACTTCATCTGATGGTAACGAGCAACTGCAGAGAACTATACGCTACCCGATCTGATCTCTCATCATCCTCCGATGAATCACTGTCTCCATTGGTGAGCGAGGAAGAGTATTGGAAGCGCTGGGAACAGAGCTCTCTCTGAAACTCTAGCTACTGCTTCTCTCTAGAACCGGATTGTTGGGATCAGAATTGAACCTTCAAAGCAACAAATTCGCAAAAACAGAGTGAAGATTAAAACGAAGATAACAGACGCACGAACGAACGAGAGAGTGTGTGAGCTTGGTTAAGGTTACTTTGGAGTAGAAAGCGAAGGAGGAGGAGGCATTGTGTGAAGAAGAAGTAGAGACGATGCAACCATTCGTTGTTGGAAACTTTGGGAATTTTATTATCTGTTAAAAAAAATTTATAACGGCCATCCCTCAGAAAATGTTCAAAAATTTAGAGAGTATAAATATTGTGGGGGTCAAAACTGGCCATAAAATTATAAAAACTAAAAACTAAAAATAAAAATAGAATGTGGCGTTTTCTAAAAATATCATAATATACATGATTATTGGGGGTTTTATAAACCTCCACAAAATAACATCCACAAATTACACATTTTTTTGTAGTGGTTATAATGAGTTGAGACAAAGCAAACTTGTTAGATTTTCTCTTATACTGAATCTAAGTAATTAATTATCTTGTAGTATGTTATTTTGATTCCTTAATTTATTTATAGGTGAGATATATTTTGCTTTTCAAATTTTTTATTATTTGAGCATGTCAACCTACCAATTTGTCAAAAAAAAGAGAGAGCAAAATGATGTCTCAATTCATTTTAAAAAGTGAGTCGATTTGTCGCTTCCAACTTTTGCCTCTATGTGCCTTTTATTTAACTTAAAGGAATAATTTTTTTGGATGAATTAAAAATAAAAAATAACAATTCAAAAGCGCTTCTTCCCTGATTTTGAACTGGTTCCCAGTGATTCTCTGATTATCTAATTTTCTTAAATTGAATACATGACCAATTCAGTCACCCAAAAAAAAAAAGAATACATGACCATTGACCAATTCATTATTTACTTTTTTATCGAAGTGCCGCACCTGATCTCGTTTTTGCAGCACTCATATAATTATAAACATGATAGTGTTTTTATTTTTCACAAAAAATAGGGCGGGATGAAATGAGGACATAGAGCCCTTTTGGATTGCCTTCCAAAAAAAAAAAAGCATTTTTTATATCTTATTTATTTTAGAAATATTTTTTATAAAAGTTAGAGTTATTTAGATTTTTTAAAAAATATTTAGCTTTTAACTTCTAAAAATTTAGAAGCTAAAATTTTTAGTTTTCAAAAAAATAAATTTTTGATTTTTTTATAACTTCTATTTATTTAAAAACAAACATTCAAACTTATTTTTTTTATAAATATTTTTTTTTTTCTGAAAAAAGTCCATCCAAAAAGGAGAACAGAGTCCAGAGCAAGGTAGTTAAAATTTACAATTTACGTAAAATTGAAAAGGGGGTTAAAAATCATAAAAAATTAAAAGTATTTAGAATATTGGTAAAAGAGATAAGTTATTCTACCAATTATTTTTTCTGCTTATACTTGTCTATTACTTTCCAATATCGTTAGATTAGAATCTCAGAGAGAAAGATAAAAGTTAATTGAGATTTTAATCTAATGATGTTTTAAAGTGGTAGACATAGATAAGCAGAAAAAAAAATATATAGAATAACTTATCACTTAATAAAATTATTTTGATAAAAAAAATTGTAAAAACATAAAATTATAATAATAAATCAAAATTTTAACTTTCATATACAAACGACAAGAGGAGTCATCATCAAACGAACATAATGGTCAAAAGGGTGGGCTCAGTTAGGACCTCATTTTTGGTGGAGTGCATACTTCTTTATTAAAAAAAAATTATGGGATAAGAATTGAAATAATCATAAAAGTGTATAATATATTACTTTTTATCATATTTGATAAATAATGCATCCAATACTCGATACAATAGGAATCCTAAAAATATTTTCGTTTGTGCTAAAAAAAAGAAAAAAATATTTCTGCAGTTAATGCAGATAAGTTATCTGTATTTATTCTTAAAACGACGTTATTTTGATATTGAAATGTTAAAAAATTATAAATATAAAGATTATTCTAACCCTGAAATAAATTAAAATTATAAAAATACAATGATTTCCGTCCCAAAACGACGTCGTATTGACTTACTGCAGATAATTTATCTGCAGTAACTGCAGAAAAAGCGAATCCTAAAAAAAAATATATATTTTCGTTAGTTAGGTAATAGGGAATTAGGGATCCATCCTTTCATTTTTACTCAAGCGTTCTCACAGAGCAGAGTAAAGAGAGATTAAATACCATGCCTTCTTGATTATTTTGAGCAAATTGCTTTAACATTGCCAGTTTTTTACGTAATTAGCTCATATAAGTATATAATCACAATCCCACTTCTTTCTTGAAATGCCTTTGCATTTAGAATTTATAACAACGCGCTGCTCGTTTTTAAATTTAATTTGAATTCAAAAACCCACACCTTATATTTACTTTTTAATTTTTATTGCCATTATTACTTTTTGAGTTGCTTTTAAAAGATTCAGAATTCAAACTCATATTTGTAGCGTTCCAATAACGTTTAAATTTTGAACCATTGTTCCATTGTTTATACTTTATATTCCATTTGAAAATCGAACGCGTCCCAACACCACCGCTCGAACACAATTCAAAACCCCACATACCAAAAAAAAAAAAAAAAAATCATTTATAGTATGGCTGCCATTACAGAGTTTTTAAATCTCAACTTTTTTTCATTTGGTTCTCAAATTTTATAGAAAAAAGGAGAGTCAGTAAGTAGACATATAACACATTAGCATAGCTAAGCAAAACAGTCGCATATGCAGCATATGTAACGACTTGGCAAATCAATTTGATATGTTATCCGTCTACTTTTATAGATTCTATTACTCTTTTATTGTTGGAGAGAAATCATTTCCGGCTGATATATACTTTTCAAGATATGATTTCATATTTTGAAAAGTATGTGATTACGGTAGATAATTTCTCTTTCTTCTAATGAAGAGATATATATCCCTACTTTTATTCTTGAAGTGCTATTATAGACATTACAGAAGTGGTTAGGAACGGGTGAGAGCTATTGCCGCGAAGCGATTAAGGGCTTTATATTTTGGTAGAATGAGTGGCCGTAAGTTCTATTTCACTTGTAGCAGCACCATTTCCACTCTAGGATAGTTTACCCCAGTCAAATTATTTACTTAGTCTCAAAATAGCATAACATATATATGATAACATCACGCATCTCAACCAAACGCCGACAATTCTGCTTTTATAATGTTGATAATGGTAATCAACAGGAAATTGACTTTCGCCATTATTATGGCCAAAAAAATATCATTAGAAATTTAGAATTGGGAGTGACTCTCATTAAGAAAAGAAAAAGAAAAAGAAAAATGGGTGTGACTTCTAGTTCCACTTGACTCCAAAAGAATACGCATTGCTATTTACGATGGAGTCAACAATCAATATATGATGCTTCTATATATCTTGTGAGAAATGCTAACACTCCATTTGAAGGTTACTATCCTTCACTCGTTTAGATAGACACAAATTATTTATAATTTTTATTTAATTTAAATAAAAATATCTAGTTTAATAATTAACAACCTCTCATTAATTAAAGAAAAACGATTTACCTTACCAAAAATAAATAAATAAATAAAAACGATTTCTCCCCTAATATTTAGTAATAGCAAACTTCATAAATCTGTTTCTCTCTTAATATATATCAATCTAATAAATTTTATTCATTAAAAAATATTAATTTTATTCAGTCAACTTCAATTTAAATTACAACTTAAATTTGTTGCAGTGCATAAATGAATTCAAAAATCATCAAATCATAAATAATAAATGACATAAATATATTTAATATTAAACGGGGATATACTTACAACCAT